CCGGGATCCCGGGATCCCGATCCCGGGATTGCAATCTCTAGTTCCGGGGGGGGGGGGGGGCTATTCATAGCCCCCTCCCGTTTTTCTGCAATGACTTCCAAACCGCTCAATGTATCGACGCCAAACTTTCAGGAGCTTCGGCTGCATCAATTTGACACCTTGTGTCAAAGTATGAACTACGTAGCTACAATAGATCGGCCGGAAATGACGTCAGAGTGACGTCCTGTTCGGCCGATTTCGACTCAAAACATCGAACCACGTCAATTGCTCCCAATAGCTCAGTTTATAGGTCCAGTTTCTTTTCATGAGAAGACTCAGTCAGGGCTGCGGAGTCGGAGTCGGAGTCGGAGTCGGAGTCGGAGTCGGTCGGAGTCGACAGTTGTGACCGGAGTCGGAGTCGGAGTCGGAGTCGATTTTAGAAACCCGAGCCGGAGTCGGAGTCACCGAAAATCTGTCGACTCCGCAGCCCTGCTAGGTCTGCGGAGTCGGAGTCGGGAGTTGGAGTCGGTCGGAGTCGACAAGTCTGCCCGGAGTCGGAGTCGGAGTCGGAGCTGGTTTTTGAAAGCCGGAGTCGGAGTCGGAGTCGGAGTCGCCGAAAATCCATCGACTCCGCAGCCCTGCTCAGAATAGACTTTGCTATCAAACTGCAACCTCGGATTTTCAAAATTTGGAGAATTCTGAATATTGTAGAAATTAAAATTCAAAATTTATATTTTTATTTTTTTTTGAAAAAGTTATTTACTTTTCGAAAAAATATGTGATAGAACACGTGCTTATGACTTATCTAGCAGGTTTGGGCCACATATCTTAAAAAATGGCCAACTTATACGCATTATAGAAAAAAATCAATTGTAAATTTTTCAAATCATTTTTTTTTTTAAGTACGTATTTGACATCGTACACCAATATAAATAGCACCATCGTGTTCCTGAGCTCAAACTGCAGCCGATAGACACCTTTTTGTTGAAAAAATGTTAACCTTAAAATTTGACCTTTTTTGACCTGAAAGTGGCCTGACCTAAGCTATTAGCTATCAGCTCAAAATGACCTCGAATGACATAAATGACATTGAAATCGAAATCTATGGGCTAAATGGACCTTAAAACATATGTCACGTGACCGATGCATGATATAAGATTTCCGTCACCACTCACCTGTGATCACCTGACCCTGACCTGAAAATCAAAATACAAGTTTGGTACACTCAGGGTATCTAAAGCATCTGTTCACGAGTGTGTGTTCACGTGTGTTCACGACTGTTCACGAACCAAAAATGAGCCTGATGTGACTTGTAAGCGGGCGGCTAGAGCCCAAAATGTGAACAAGCCAAACATGAATAATTTTTACTTAGGCCTGACCTGTGACGTCATCGGTGACCTCGAGGTCAATGAAAGTAGGTTTCGCATGACAGTTTTTGCGGGACTATCAGATGCCGTTTGAATTTTGACGATCGGCCCAGTAGTGTCGGAGTTAGGAGGGGGCTATAAAGAGCCCCCCCCCCCCAGTAGGGCGCGTTATACGCAGAACATTTCAGGTAGAGCGGGCGCGGGTGAACATTTGACATTTTTGTTGCAAGCGTTTTTTTTTTTTGGCAATTGCTTTCGCCACCAAGCTTTTACTTCGTCGACAGTTTTACCCAGTATCGTGTTTCACTCAATGAGACAGTCGAATGAACCTATGTTGACCTTAAAAGGTCATCTTAAAAAGTTCGATCTCAGGTACGCGTCGAGAAGAACGCTCCTCTCCTCCCCACCCGCTCTGAGGTGGTTGCAATTACCCTCGGCCGGGTTTAAGTTCGACCTATTGTGTTCTCCAGGCGCCCTGGGTGACCGCTGCTGCTCGGCTGACGACTGCGGACTGGTCTCGGGACGGCACCTCTGTGACACCGCCGGCCGGTGCGCCTGTCTGGACGGACTGCGCGGCCTGTTCAGCGCCTGTCTGCTGGACCCGGAGCGCGGACAGTTCACCGACCGCGTGGCCGGCGCGCCGCCGAGGCTGTGGTCATCCGCTCTCATGTCCACCTCCAGCTCCTCGGCGCGGGAGTGCCGCCGACTCTGCCTGGACACGCCGCGGTGCCTTTCGCTGCTGGTAACCAGCCACGGTGACTGCAGGCTGTTCGACGCTGTGGCCGTCCCCGCGACCGACCCAGTCCAGTACGTGACTGGCTTTGAAGTGTTTTTGTTTCACGGCGAGTCGCAACCCGGGGACGGGTTTCACGAGGACGACCATGGGCGGCTTTTCAGGTACCTGTCGCAGCCGATGACCGTTTACGAAGCACACGCCGCCTGCATGGAGCTGAACGCCATTCTGTACCCGGCTGTCAACGTGTCAGACATGCAGTACGTCTTCAACCTCCTGAATCTGACGGCCGGGCTGGATCCGGAGCCGAGCGCGTCGCCGGAGAACGGCACGGCGACGACGCCTGGCTCGGAGCTGGAGTCGGTGCCGGTGGATGGCGGAGTGCTGGTCGGCCTCGACCGGCAGCTCTACCTGCAGCAGCTGCACACCGCACACCCGGTGGTGGCCGTCACCGAGCTGCCGCACCTCTGGGACGCCAATGACGAGGCGCACCGCCACGACACGCCGCTGTTCGCCAGCGACGGACAGGTGGTGAACGAGGCGCCGTGGCGCCACGGCGCGCCGTTCGCCTTCGACTTCATCGCGGCCGACCTGCGCCCGGAGCCGCCGCGGCTGCTGGACGTGCCCGACTTTATGCTGCTGCCGGCCGTCTGCCAGCGCGTCCCCGGCTACATCGACACATTCTTTCCGATTGACGGCACCATGAACATCACCCTGCAACTGCCGGGGGAGCGCGCGTACCAGCTGAGGGCGGTGCTGGTGGCGGGCGGCGCCGGCCGGCCGCTGCCGCTCCGCGTCACCGGTTCTCTGAACCGCCTCACCATGGGGTCGCTGTGCGCCGAGCTGGGGCCGCTCCAGGCGCCGCCGCGCGGCGTCAGCCGACTGGTCAGCTGCACGCGGGCCGTCTACGCCCACTTCGTCCACCTCCGCTATGAGGACGACTTTTCGGGCGAGCCCGTCCACTGGCCTCCCATCTCTGTGTACGGTGCTATAGTGGAATAGCCGCACGGCGGTGGCGTGGCATATGCATCATGCAGCCTGCCAGTCCGGTTGCATCAACAGGTGGTTTGTAAAGGTGTGCATTATTCTGACCTGTTATCACGTTTATGGGCTCGTCAGGGCGAACGTGTCGTTCTAGCCAGTCGCATAATTATTTTATATTTCTTCATTGGTTCATACGTATGAAGCACATGAGTAGATTGGTCCGGGTCGGTATTTTAGGGTGGGTATCGCCCATTTTTCGCTAATGCCCCGTTGCGTTGTGCCAGTGCCTGGTTACATAAGATTTTTTTGCGAGTCTCTAGATCAGGTAATCTGCCATAATTTCGATGCAGTGCTCTTCGTAGCGTTGAATGAAATGATTGTATTTATTTCAAGACACCATTGGCATGTTTTGCAACATTTCGGGCCAAGTTAGGCGGGTTCGCAACAAACGCTATGTAAACTTGGCTGGTGTACCTACGCTTAGCTCACTTAGCACGTAAGCCGCTCACGTGACGATCCGCATCAGATCAGTGGTCAGTGTCTACAAGTAGGTAAATATTGTGTTGAAAGAGACACATCTACTCGCGTCGTTGGCTTATTTGTGTGGTGTGTAGATGTATCCACATCAAGACCGCGTAGGTATGTATGCCTATGTACGGTATCTACCTACCTACAGTACTTACCTACATACATCAGCTGCATATCTATATCTCATATAGGTGGAATTTGGAGCGTTGTGCCGGGGTGGGGAAGCCAAGGCGCGACAAATCCCCCGCTACCCTAGCGATGACCTTGTCATGCGCCGTCTATTGCGGCTCCAAAGCCAAGCCGGCGTGGAATTAGGAGAGCTCGGGCACCCTCAGCTGGGCACAAACTTCCATCTATGCCTATGTGTACATGTATGGGCTATGGCTAGCATTTAGCAACACAAAATGAGTCACTCTATGGTCACGCCTAATTTAGGCACGATAAGCGAACCCTGAAGGCTCATAGATAATTGTACACTGTATGCCAATAGGGTACGCGAACGGAACCAACAGCATTGTGCAGCGAACGTCTTTCGCTCAGTATAATATAACACCAAAATACGTGTCCTTAGGACGTGGCCTTGCTTTAGCAAAGGTGATGCAAAGCATGGCTCCTGCGTGATGTTTTCCATAGACTTCGCAGACCCCATCCAGCCCTACCAATTCATTAGCCCTATGGCGCTGCATGGTGAGAGCGGCTTTATTGCTATTGAATATGATATTGCTCCGTTGTCCATACAAAATCTCGTGCTCGGTTTACATTCATTTGTGTATATGCGTAAATTAACCCTCGCACATTATATGGGGTCGAACGGAACGGACCCCTTCGGTTTTTCACAAATGTATCGCGCAAAAAGCAGCTGATCGAGACGAATCTTGCAGTACCCCTGGGCCCTGAGCTAACCCTCGCCCATATTGGAGTTTTGCCAACCGCGATCGCGAACGTATGAGGGGAGGGGGGTCCGCTGCTCACCCCTTGCCGTTTCGCCCCTGATCGAGATAGGGCTTCGCGTAACGAGCAACACGCCGATGATACCCATTTCAAGTTTCTAGGTCATTGGTTGACCTTCCAGGTCAGGTCAATGACTAAAAATTCGGGGAAATCGGGACCTGTTAGAAAGTGTGGTGGCAAAGCGTGGCTGCCATGTGGTTTTTCGGGGTGCTGATCACGAATATCATGTTAGTTTTGATCACAGATGATGTCTTCATGCATTTAGACCAGGTCGGGTGATCGTTGGGCCGTAAACGCTTTTGATTTGCGCTAGTCTCAGCTCAAGCTACAAAATTGCTATTACAGTTCAAAACCACCATATTAAAAGTGAACTATTTCCTTTGAGCGGCTGGCAAAACACCATTACGGGGGAGGGTTCAATATATATAAAGCGTTTTTATACGACGTTTCGTGATTTTCTCTAAAAATATGGCTAAATTGCAGCAAGATAACGGCCATTCTCAAGGATGGTTAAAATTTTCATGACGTCATTGAAACAATCAGGAAATGTAAAAGATATAATTTTCGTTAACCTTGATCTCTTTCGTGGTGTGCTTGGCTGTTTTTTTTTTTAATTCCGTGTCAGTGTTGTAAAGCGAAAAATTCGAGTTTTTCGTCGCGTCTCAGAGTGATTGGGGCGTTCTCGATGTTTTAAATTTTGTAGCCTCCTGACATATATTTACTAGTCACTCAAACGGCGGGCTCAAGGTGATATGGCTGATGCCTTAGCGTGAGTTATTTGGAAGAAAATGTCAAGATGCAAGCCATCAACAAAGTTTGTTCCAGCAACAGTTGCATGGTCGCTGCTGTTAGGATGTACAGGAATCTATTTCTATTACCCGTAAGTATTTTTATATTGCCTTGTTTTAGCTTGTACATATTGAGGCTGGGGGCATGAGCATCAGCCGGTTAGTGTTTTAATTGTTGTGGTAAGATGAAAGTAGGTAATTGGTATCACAAGATACTATTATGCACTTATCTAACATTTTCTGCAAATTAACTGCAACATCTTGCCCTCGAACACTGGAAAATTTGATGCTAAAACACCTCTTGAACAGTACACCAACCTGAGCTATGGAGCCTGGAGCCCATGGTACACTACCCGTGATCCTCCAGGAAATCGTGTGTGTCCTGCAATTTGTCAGGTTTTGCAGGAGGGCATCGGTACGCAGATCAAGATCAGCCAACGGAAACACACTGCGTTGCTACTCTGAGCCACACTGTGGGTCACACACGCTCAGTCAAGGAAGTCACATTCAGTCCAGGAAATGGTGGATAGTCTGGATTGTCCACACATTAAGTTCAGAAGTCTGAACTTTTTTAGAATCTACATGTTTGTGTCAGACAGGAGGAAAAATTTCACAAGATATTCTAAGACCTCCTGAATTCATTTCTGATACTTATTCCTTGGAAATTCTGAAAAGCAGAAACTGACATCACTTAAATCCTGCAAGCATTGAAACAAAGAACAGGCTCATATGTACAGGTCTCGCTGGTTTTAGCAGTAGGTTTTGCACCTAGAAAATGTATTGTACTTCAGGCTATATCTCCGTAGTCTTAAGCTTTTAAGTGTTGAAGATGCGATTGACTTGTTGGTTCACAAGCCGGCCACGATCATGAAAAATGGCTTAATCGTAGATCGATTAGTTTCTGAGATAGGTATAACCGGAAATGTAAAAGTGCAAAACCTACCACTTGATCTTGCAAGAGCCGTACACACTTTCTGGATGGCTAGGTACGCATAGTGTAGCCTAGGCTCTATTCATAGCTAAGTGACATTGATGTTGAAATCCAACCAATTCATAAGAGCATAAAAGTGATGTGAATTGTTTTAAAGCTAACCAAACCTAAACTAACCTAACAGTAACCTAACCAATGTGACTGACTTATCAGTGATCCTTTGATGTCTGTCTGTTGCAGGTGCCAGTGGCTTCTGGTGAAACTTTACCCTTGGGGCTTTGTCATACCTTTGTGTCAGGGTATCCTTTCTTTTTTTGTCATAGCAAACTTTTCACTGGCTACCTTCATGAATCCAGGCATTGTTCCGAGAGGTGAGTTATTCATCCTTTTTGCATTCATCTCATTAAATATTAACCCTTGAGTTCTGCACTTTTATTTGATGTTTATTATGGGTTAGTATATTGGCTAAAATAAGTTTTGCATGGGTGCATCTATGCAAGCCTTTGGAAAGTAGTTTGCTCATCTTCATCATTATTTGTATTTGGAACTGGTGCCTTTAAGTTATTATCCACATGAGTTGTTATTTTTATCTTAATCAGTGCTTGCAGCTTGTAACCAATCTGTATTTGTGGATGATTCCAACTTCAACACCCCTTCAATACCACCTGATTGGTAAAATAAGAAGTAAGTGTATCCTGTCATGGTGTGACTTGACCTTTACCCGAGTGTGTATGTGGGGAGGGGGGCGTTTTTGGCCACACCTGCCAGTTTTTGTGTGTGTGTAAAGAAAACTGCAGCGCGCAGCGCCACGAAATTTGGTACCTATAGCTTATGATACGTCAATTTTGCATCGTGTGTAAAACTTTTGACCCCGGGTCACACAAGTTCAGGTCACCGGGTCAACTTAAGTGGCCATGCCTCTTAAAAAACTTTGTGATTCATTCATTCCTGCGCTTACATCCCAGAAGTCTGAAACTCAGGCTATTGCATGAGGGAATCAGTGCCAGCAATTTGTATATCCCGGAATTTTTGTATCGATGACTTAAGGTCAGGTCAACTTTGTGACCTCTCCATAAGTCAATGTGAAAAATTTAAATGCTTTTCTTATGTCTGAAAACACCCTCAGACATCGGAACACGTGAATATAACACACTGAATAGAAAACGCACCTGTGACCCCGTTTTTGCTCTCAGGTCATCTCGGATCATGAAAAACGGTTCTTTGACAGACTTTTGATAGAAACATGCTGGAGCGCTGAAAACTACCATGGATGTGTTTAGCTCAACAATACGAATCGAATGATATGCAACATGACTTTTTCTGTGACCTTGACCTGAGGTCAAATTTTTAAGCTGACCTTTCCAGGTCAACTATGGCTTATTCAACGCGTCTCAACGAGACAAACGCGATGCCGGTATAATCAGCGTAATACAAGCTTGGAGTCAAAACTTATACAGAAAAACTTTTTTTCCGCAAAACATCCAATTTTGAGTTTTGCACTCTGGAGACTAAACCGTTGACCTTCGGTCAAAGCTGAGAACAATATTCAGAAAGGCATATGAAAGAGCTATCGAATGCGCTTTTCCGCGGCGCTATAGCTCTATTGCTGCCGACTTAGGCGCCTCTTTGTGAAAGGCTGTCAAAATCGGGAACAAAAAGTCGCGATGATTTTATCTTTGGTGACCTCCAGTGACCTCAGCGAGATCGAAAACGACCTTCATAATTCTGAAAGAACTCATGCGAGCTATCCAGTGCTTTTTACCGTTTCTTTCTAGTTTGCTTACTTCCCGAGATAACGTGGTGTGGCCAAAAGGCACCCCCCCCCCCCCACACACACTCCACCATGGTGAAGTTGGCTGAGAGGCCCACCCGGGCGCGGGTTATTGTGAAAACTAGAGCCAATGGACTGAATATCAGGCCTGTCCTATTGTTGCTTGGTTGTTATGCAATGTTAATATGACAATCTACCTATTTTCAAATATACAGTGGAAGTACAATATGTAATGACCTAATGATTTTGATGTGCTGATTTTTATGTGATGGTTTTCTCCTTCCCTCGCGGAGCAGCGTCATCCGACGAAGACCGGGATGACGACTTCCGGATGCCGCTATACAAGAACGTGGAAATAAGCGGCATCACAGTGCGCATGAAATGGTGCGCAACGTGCCAGTTTTACAGGCCGCCGCGCTGCTCCCACTGCAGTGTCTGCAACCACTGTATAGAGGTGAGCAATGAGCATTAGTGCCCCTGCAGTGTCTAACTTCTGTACACTGTACAGTGCTGAGCTTGTATTCGAGCTCGTTCTGTGCCTAACTGTTACACTGTGCCTACAGAGTCAGGTGACTATTGACAAGGTCTGAAGACACGGTGGGCGTCGGGTTGGGTGTGTATCCTTTAGTTCAGCTGATGAAACACATGAGGGTGGATCGATTTGGCTGTAAGGGGTGTCAATAACGACCGCCGAGATATAAATAAGTAAAATGGTAAAATGTGATGGATTAATGCTGCGCTGTTTCAGGATATGATTGATAATGTAACAATATTACACAATTTATTGGACTCTTTTTTTTTTACCACTTCCCAACCGACCACGCCCGTTGGAAGTGATCGTGGTACGATCGTCACCGACACCCCGCCGCTGCCGACACGGGCGCTGACAGTCCGTGTTCCGCCGGCAGACGTTCGACCACCACTGTCCGTGGGTGAACAACTGTATCGGCCGGCGAAACTACCGGTTCTTCTTCCTCTTCCTGCTGTCGCTGACGCTGCACATGGTGGCCATCTTCGGCCAGTGCCTGGTGTTCGTGCTGGACAGGAGGCACGAGCTCGGCTCGGTCGACGTCATCGCAACGTATCCTTTATGAACCGGACGGCAGATCTGCCGTATAAAGGCAAAACCCATTATGTTCGGGTGACCTTTGACCCGAGGTAATGGCCTCTGACCCGACATAAGGGTTTTTGCCTTTGCACGGCAGAGATACGCCGGCGGATGGACGGATGGACAGACTGTTGGACTGACGCTCATTCTTTTTTTCCTCATTCCTCATTCTTTTCCATTGGCTCCTCATTCTTTTCCATCGGCTGTGTGTTTGCGGGGTAGGGAATGGGGGAGGGAGCGGGGTAGAGAATCGTCTTGCAATGTCAGGGGATGTACTGTAGCTAGACGTGCTGGCTGTAGAGTGTAGAGGTACCCTTGGGTGCCATTTTATCATTGCTGGTGTTTTTGTTGGTTCTGTTAGATCACACTCGGTTGTACTCCCCGAATCTGTGTGCCTATTTTTCACGTTTTAGGCCGGGTAAAGCAAACTGAGGTTATGTCTCGCTCAGTAATATCTACCTACCTGTAGTTCTACAATACGAGAAGGTTCGGTTTATTGTCGGCAGTGCCCCCTTAATGGAAGGTGTTCCGCCGCTACTGGCTGGGTTGTCTCCAGCGGTTTTCGAAATTTGCCGTTCTACCTGCTTTGTCACCTAGTTTTATCTATGACTGCCGTTGTAAATGGGTTTCAAGGCCTGTAGTCGGCTAATACAAATACAGAATACGGAATATAGAATAGGGCGCAAAATGACCTTTGTAGTCGGCGCATCCTTAAGTCCCATTAAACAAACCAACAGAATACAACAGGCAAATAAAGCTCTGTAATGGTTTCCTGCCAGCGTGGCTAGTGAACCACCATACGAGGGCTCCAGCCTTGCCGTGTCCTGCTGGCTCTTGGGCTCTGCCACACCGGGCACGCGGTGCGGTGCTGGCGTATTTCCGGAACGATAAGAGATCGCTCACGAGGTCGGCTCACCGGTACCGGCCGCCCGGCGCGAGCGGTGGGATTAGCTCAGGAGCCGGAATTTCTGACAGGTGCCAGTCGCCAGCAGAAGTCTAACTCTAGTTCGGCGTCATGCTGTCCTTTTCTCGTAGATAAGTTTTACAATCATATTTGAATAGTTAATTTTCTTCCTTTCGCTGTATGGGGTGACACAATAGCTGCCGTCCATACCATAAAATGGTTTTAGTTTTATACCATCGTTACCTTCATATTTTGTCTTAAAATAAGTAGCGACCTTTCAGATCATGTGGTGGTTAAATTTGCACTCGATTAGCAAATTGCGAGCTCACACATCACTGCATGCACGTCTTAGGCATATATCTGTATACGAGTAGTGTATATTTGCCATATCTGTGATACTACCTACGTCCGTCTGTATATTACATGCTCCCCTCCGCGCCTTGGGTCTCCTTGACTGTGGCCTCTACGTCTATCGGTGCCACGTGCTCTCCCCGTCGCGTCGCGGTTTTCCTTGACTGTGACCCCTCAGTCTGGCGGTGATGGTGGTGATCGGCCTGCTGTTTGTCCCCATCATGGGTCTGGCCGGCTTCCACACGGTGCTGGCCAGTCGCGGCCGCACTACCAACGAGCAGGTCACGGGCAAGTTCCGCGGCGGGTTCAACCCGTTCTCGCGCGGCTGCGGCGCCAACTTCTGCCGCACCCTCTGGGCGCCACAGTACCCCGAGTGAGTATCAAGTACCGAACAGTACCCCGAGTGGGTACCAAGTACCGTGCAGTATCCTGAGTGAATACCACAGTACCCCGAGTGAGTATCAGGTAGCGCACAGTACCCCGAGTGAGTACCGGGTACCGTGCAGTATCCTGAGTGAATACCACGGTACCCAGAGTGAGTACCGCGTAACGCACAGTATCCCGAGTACCGCACGCTGCACAGCTTCGTGAGTGAGAACTGGACGGTGTTTCACCGACGCTGCCAGCGCGCTGCGTCGGCGTAGGGTTTCGGTCTGAGCAGCGGAGCGGCTCCAATTCTATTCGATCAGCGTGGTCTGTGATCAGTGTGGTGGGAAATCGGTCCGTAGCACAGTGATGCAAATGGGGTTCACGAGTGGCCATAAATACGAAAAAGGCCCAAAATTCAAGTTCACTTAATCGAATAAATCGTAATATGGTCAGTCCGGCAAATGTTTGGGGTGTCTGAAAAAGTATGATTTTAATGTTTTTGTCAAAACCGGCCTCGTGTAGGATTGTCAGAAGTCGAGACATTTTCGATGTCGTAAAATGACTGTCAGGTACTTGAAATTCAAGTGCCGCTAGTGTGCGTTCATGTCATACAAACTGCAAAAATACATGAAAATGATCCCCGAAACCTGCTGCTTCTAATGCAACGTCATACAAAGCCGTATCTATTTTGGTATGGCGGTGAGCTAACTATTTGTAATCATGTTGCAACCGCAGTTTTTTACCAAAAATATTTGCTTTCAATTAACCTACAGCACTTCACACAGTGTGTGCCCGGTAGTGCACCATATCATAGCATTCCCTAATCATTTCTGAGTCGCATCGTGAAAGAATTAAGGTGCTAGCACAGGGCTGACCGGCGCTACAGAAGTTTTCGTCCGTCACGGTCGGGTGCTGCGGCGCAGCGGGCGGCCGCGTCGCCGCGCCGCCCGGACGCCGCGCGGCGGCACCCACCCGCCCAACTGCGCGCCCACTGCGGCACCCGACCGCCCGGACAAAAACCTCTGTAGCGCCGGTCAGCCCTGTGCTAGCGCCTTAATTCTTTCACGATGTGACTCAGAAATGATTAGGGAAGGCTATGGTATGGTGGACTAACGGGCACACACTGTGTTAAGTGCTGTAGGTGAAACGAAAGCATTTTTTTCTTAGTAAAAAACTGCGATTGCAACATGATGATAAATAGTCAGATTACCAGCGAAGCGAATGAGGTATGGCTTTTTGTGATCCAGCATTAGAAGCAGAAGGCTTTGGGGATCATTCCCATGCATAATTTTTCCAATTTGTACGAAATGAACGCAAACCAGCGGCGTTTGAACTTGCGAGTGTCTGACCGTCATTTTACGACCTAGAAAATGTCACGACTTCTGACGATTATACACGAGGCCGGTTTTGACAAAAACATGAAAACCATGTGATTTCAGATGCCCCAAACATTTGTCTACCCGGCCATATCGCAATTAACTCGATTTGGTAAACTTAACTTTTTGGTATTTATGGCCACTCGTGAACCCCATTTGCATCACTGTGCGTAGCGGGCTAGTATCACCGGGTTATGTCGCTCGTAATCGTATGTGACTGGTTCCATTTGACCCGTCTGACCTGACCTATGCGACTTTATGCGAGCCATGTGACCGTCTAAGCAGTGCGGCTTATGTGTACTGTCAGACTGTCTGGCCGGTGTGGTTTGTGTCAGCTAACCGGCGCTCTCTGTGCCGCAGTGTGATGGCGCTGGCGCGGCGCGCCCAGCGGCGGAGGCACCAGTACACGCTGCCCACATCGCCGCAGCTGCCGCCGGCTGTCGCCGCCGATCACCAGGTCAAGCTGTATATCGACAACGGTAACGGTGTACGGGGCAAAGGCCATGCCGCCCGCTACACGCAGGTACGTCAGGTACGAGCTCGGGGCACGCCACGCATGGCCGCCCTCCTCCCCGCCGGTCACTGCACGCGTCGGCACGCCACAGATCGAGCCGAGCGATTCGGGAACTGTGAGCATGTATTTCGGTCTGTGTGAGGAGTTTGGCTGTATGTCTGGACGATCTAAGTTAGATTCCTAACAATGCACTCGATACCGATGCATGTGGGTGTGTGAGGTGTTGTGGTGCCGCCTGTGTGGCATTGACACGGTGCAGTGCCTGGTGTCCTTTGTCGGCATTTGACCCGGGAGCCGGACTAATGAGGATTACGATAGGCCGCGGGACTACCGCCGGTGGGGACCGGAAGGCAGAACTGGTGTGTTGTTCGTGGGTCTGGATGGCCGACAGACGCTCGTTCTGTCGGTCGTCCGCGCCATCACCCATACGTTTGGGCCAGGCTATATTATTGACCGTTGGTTTCTCGTAACTTGCTTGAGTTTTGATTGCTTACTGTTCTAGTTTTGATTGCTGTTTCGGGGCTACGCACTTCTTGGTGCGATCAACAATGCCTTGAGCTAAAAGCAGGGCTTTTGTGAAGTTGTTGGCTTTGAAAGTTTTCCTTTTTACTTTAATTTCAATCATCGAGCGTAAACTTGCCCAATATCCAGCCTTTGCAGTTGTGGAAGTTGAGTTTCAGCGTTAAGGTCCTGCATTATTTCAACAGTACATGTTTGTGGTCCTTAGCATTTAGTTGCTTTATTCAGTTAACCAGCGTTGCACCATTTATGTTTCGTTCCCTTCACGTTCAGCTCCGGAACGTTAAGGTTTGTCATTCGTTCAGTCTTATGTTTTGTCTGCTTACAAGCATTGACGACAGGAGCGTTAGCAGCCAGCACGGCTCGTCATTCTGTGGTTTCTGCCTTGTTTGTGCCCGTCTGCCCGTCGTTCTTAGCTGTCTGTGCGTCACCTCGTCGCCTGCCTGCTGCCTGTGTTTGTCTGTCTGTCTGCCACCGCCTGTGGAGACCGGGACCACCAGCACCCGGCCGAGGAGCCGACACCTCTGTTCGCGGCGCACGCTCAGCCCACCCCCGCCCCGCCCCGCTCGTCTGCACGTTCCAGATGCGCGCTGCCGGCTCGGCGGCCCGGCCGGCCGGGCGGACCGCGTCGCCGGCGCGGTCCGCCGTGGCCGCGGCGCCGCGCCAGGCAGTGCCCCGACCGCCGCTGTCGCCGCCGCGGCCCGCCGTGCCCGAGGTCTCTCACCTGCCCATTTGGCACCAAACGGCCGTCTAACGCGCACTGCCCGCTTCCTAAATTGTGTGGTTGGCCGCCGCCCGGGTGAGTATGGGCGGTGTCCTCGACTGGAAAGCTCTGTGGCTGTTCAGTGATGTAGCGTGGATGTCTTGCTGGTCAAGTCGGCAGTGATGTTTTTAGTAGATCCCTAAAATGTCAATTTGGATGCCATGATACACGGGTTCTTTCAGCATGTGTGAAAAGAAGCTGTGCGAACAGATATGGCGAAAAAATAGATGTCCGGATAATTTCGTTACACCCTGTAGATAAATAAATGAAACAATTTTTTCAATAAAGTCGTGTGGATCTGAGACAGAAAGTTTCACCTTTTTGCCTTGCAGTATCATAGAATCTCTTACGTCAGTAATGTCTTCATCTGTACCGCGGATGGGGTGATATCGCCCATTAGTTCCATCGGTCGCGCGCTTGCCGATGAGAAGAACCGAGTGGCCATGTATCAATCGAACATCCTTGGTTTCGGCCATGACCTTTAATTTTCATCCCCAGGCGGCTGACCTGCGCGACGCCGACCAGGACGCTGGCATGTCTCAGTCGCGCGACTGTGAGCCGTCGCCGCCGCTGCCGCACAGTGCCTCGCGGGCCAGCGTGGTCTCTGGAGGCCGGCGCTCGTGTGGCGGCGGCGCCGTACCGGCCGGCACTGCCGGCTCCCTGGAAAGGAGGCCGCCGCCGACGCACGGACGCACGCACGCCACGCTGCCGCGCGCCCAGCATGCCAGGTAAGGCGGAGGATATATCAGTACATCGCGGGGTATCAGGGTGTCTTCACTCATGTCGTTCGTGTTTGTCGTATGGACGAGCACGTCCGGGCGCCTGTGGGCTCTGTTGACCGGTTCGTGTGTACTGTGACCTGTTGATTGTATGCAGGTACCGAGGCCGTGGTTTTTCACTCACCACCTCCGATGTGGCTGTCTATGGCAGGGACGGCCGCCGGTCGCGCAGTCAGACGCCCGAGTCGGCGTGCTCGCCGGACGGCGCGGCGCCGCTGGTCTGGCCGGCCAGTCCGCCGCTGTACATCAGTCCGGCGCGCCGCTCCCAGCCGGGCACGCCGTGCGGCGGCCGCCGGTTCCCGCACACGGACGGCCTGCCGCCGACCATCTACAGCGGCGCGCCGCGCACCACCGCCAGCGGCCTGGCCGGGGAGCCGCCGCCGCCGCCGGCCGGCGAGCCGCGCTACTGGGCCGCGCCGCCGGGCCGGCTGCCGCGCGCGCGACGCACCGCAGACGCCGGCTACGAGATATCCGTGTAGCGGCCGCCGGGCCGGACAGTACAAACGGCCCGCCCTCCGGTCTGTCCCGCGCCGCGCCGGGTCGGCAGGGCCAATTGCGCTCGCTGTGTGTGTCCGTATGTGCGCCAGTGTGGAAGGCATGCGTGCGTTCATGCATTCTTCCATTGTAGCATACGCTTATACAGCTTCGCGCACACATCCACTCACAAACTGCCGGCATATTCGTTGATCTCACGCCGGTACCAATGCGTGGGAAGTTGGTCTTTCGCATCGTATTAGCTTTACAGGACAATAATTTGTTGGTTGTTTTGCCGCTCCTTGCGCGTTGTACTCTGTGCGTATGTGCGCTGTTTGTTGGTGTTTGTCTGGGCGCTCAATGTCTCGGGTGGCGGCTGTTGTCGGTCGGCGACCCGACCAGGCTCGGCCAGCTCGCCACCCGGCCAACTCATCTCATTCCGCGGCGCGCCGGTGTGGTCTCCAGCGTACCTGACGCCGTTCTTGACGCCGTGCGCCGGACCGGTCAGTGTGCCATCGGCGCTATATGTGGACGCGGCCGTGCTGCCGATTGAATCCGGTCCCGGCATCGGTTATATGTGGTCGGAGGTTGGCCGCTCGCACGTGCCATCCGGTGGGGGGGATGAGTGATCTCGGGGGGGGGGAGGGGGGGAGGTGTAGCGATCTGGCCGCCGGGAGTCGTGTGATAATCGACTCAATCCTCATACTCCGGTGGGCAGCCGGCGCCCCGCCCGTCGGTGTGGTGGGGTCGGCTCGCGCGCGGTCTCTAGGTGTCTGTGACCGGCTGGAGCGCTCGTCACTCGCTGTTCTGTTTCCGCAGCCCGTGAACGGCACCTGCCGTGTACGGCCGCGCCGCCGAGACCCATCAGCTACGTGTTTTGAATATCACTAGACGAAATACATTACCTCAAGCTCAACTAGACTGAGTGTTGCTGCCGACCGGTGACGACAGATCAAAAATCGAACACCAGCTGCATTGACGGCTCGGATCGACGATTCTCCGAATAACCTCGGGCTCGATGATAACGGCGTGTATTTCTAGGAACCAGCCGTTCTGTAATCAGTCTGTATCTGACATGCAGCGGATTCGACAAGGGGGCGAGAAACCGGCGCCCTCTGTAGCGGTTTCTCTTCCTGGCACCCGAGCTGTGTACCCGAGCTGGTCTTGTACAGGGACCCGCAGTTGCTTCTGTACACACTAGTATTTCAGCGTATTCTTTGCCTGTGACACCGTTGGAGGCGAATTGTGAAATGATTGTGTGCTTATTAAAACCACCATCTGAAGGGCTTTAAACTGATGTGCTGCTCTCCTAATTCAGTGAACTTTTTATGGCTATATCAGCAAAACATTGTTTTCAGCGCTTTTTCCTGTCCCATTCCTTCTGAAACCTGGAACCGCTTATTCCATTTACTCCTGCCATCTGACGATGGTCGTGCTGACTACTAGTTCCGGCGCTAGTTACTGCTCCAGTTTTGCACCCGGCACAAACTCAGGCGGCACCGGGCCGTGGCTCGACCAGGGGAGGGTCGGACCGAGCCGACTGCCTGGGGCGCGGTTAGATCGGACGCTCTGCTGGGGAAGGGGACGGGAGTGAGGGGAAGGGGAGGTGGTCACGTGGTCCGTCCAAGCTCGCAGACGGCCTGTCCTGCGCCCAGCCATGTTCCGTGATCCAAAATGGCACGAGAGCTGTGGAATGCCTGGAGGAGACGCTTCGAAAGCGAATTTCAGCAGCACTAATTTACCATATTCTGTGGAGATAAATGAATATTATCTTAATGCAGAAAAAAATTATATGCCTAAGCTGTATAAGCTGTATCTTTTTAAAAGTTGTAAATAGGATTATTTTTAGGGACTTATAGGTTTCGTATACACAGTGAATTATGTTACATTAAGCCGTTTCGCTGTTATGGTTACTAACTGAAGAGTTATCCTTTTTTCTCACAGGGAATGACAATACAATAACAATACAAATAAAACAGACGTTTCGCACAAAAAGTGCCTCCGTCAGTGGCAAGAAATAAGTAATTAGGCATGCATGTTTTCTTTCGATAAAATCGATGAAGTAGTTATTTTTTAAGATATATTTTCAGCAGTTTTTTAAGCACATCATGGAAGCTTATAAACATTTGTGTATTTTATCGGCAACCCGGCTGGCCAGACCGAGACGGTGCCGCATATAGTTCTCATCGATGTTAAACCTATACACTTATTTTTCTCCACTGACGAATGCACGTTGTTGTCCGAAACGTTTGGTTTTATTCGCATTGTTTTTATATTGTCATTGTCCGTGAGAAAAACATACCCATATGGACTGGTCTCAGTTCATGTAGAAATTGTTGCATATTAATAACACAGATAAAATGAATATTAGCCCTCACCACACATATAAGTACAGGTAAGTAGACCGCGCCCCCTGTTTTTCACGAATAAATCGCGGCAAAGCGAAGGATTGCGACGATGCTTTGGTGCCCTGGAGTTAATCAATTTTACAACTTCCCGGAAAATTAAATAGCCCTGATAATTTTTGCATCTTGTCTGATAATTTTAAATCCCTGAACCAAATAACCTTTAACCTGTGATTATTTTTCTCAAGATCATGTCAGGCCAGAATAGCAATTGAAAGTCAGCGCACATCTGTGTGTTTCCATAGTCGTTTCGTGATTAGCAACGTGACAACATGTGAAATATGCTATCTAATGTTTGTCTCATTGATTGTTGTGGGTGCCAAGGTCACGTGAAACTCAGGTTAAGGTCATTTACTTGAAATGATCTCGGTCAACTTCCTTAAATTTACACCTTTTTACTGTGGTTTTTAGGAAGTGTTGGTTTGAAATTTAGCACTCATTTTAGCATTTGAAAACTAGGCATACTTAGGTATCAGTTATAGTGCCTATGCAATATGTTGCAAGGCTGTAAGTGCTGGTTAACCCTCGCCCGTATTGGTGTTTTTTTTTTCCAGCCGCGAACGTATAGGGGGGGGGGGTCCGTTGGACCCCCCTCCCTTGCCGTTTCGCCCCTGATCGAGCTAGAGCTTCGCGGAAAAACGAGCGTGTTGCCCGTGACGAGAGGAAGCCGATGATACCCAATTTTAAGGTCCTAGGTCATTGGTTGACCTTGCAGGTCAGGTCAATGACCCCAAAGGCGGAAAAATCGGGACCTGTTAGAACGCCGTAAAGTGTGGCTGCTAAGAGGGTTTTCGGGATGCTGATCACGAATACCATGTTAGTTTTGATTACAGATGATGTCTTCATGTATTTAGGCCAGGTCGGGTCAGGTCAGGTCAGGTCAACCAGTAAGGGTATTCGTAGTAGGTGGCAACCGCCTCTGACAGCTTCGTAACATGTTACGAAGGCACCAAAACTGCTTCGTAAATGTTCATATGGTTGCTAAATTCGAATTCAGCTCCAAAAACTGGCCTAGAAACATGTAAAACTCGAAAAAGTGAACCGAGGTCATCAAAGGTCAATGACCTGACCTTCAGGTGACCTTGACACCCACCCTAATGCATGGGGGCAACATCATATCACATGTTTGAACGCTTGAAACCACGAAAAGACTGCAAACGCGCGTCTAATGCGAGCCGACACACGCCGAATCGCGATTCCAGCCAAACATGGTCTCGAAAAGTAGGTCACAGGTCAAAGGTCATTTGGGTCAGGGTCATGAAATTTTCAGGGTAGGTGTGAAATTGATGAACGCGAGGGTACTGAAAGTTTCGTCGCGATCGGCCGCTTTTTACGCGAGTTATTCGCGAAAAACCATGGCGGGGGGTCCGTTCGACCCCCCCCCCCTATACGGGCGAGGGTTAACATTCTATGGATAGCCGGCAGAACGCCTAATGGGTGATCTGGCGTGACCCGTCCTACCCCAAATGCTTTGATATATCATCTTTGATCAAAGCAAGTGCAAATTCGGAGTCAGAAGCAAGCCAAGTCCCAGCAAACTTCACTTGTAGAAATTCTAGCAGGACCCAATTTTTCGTGCTTTTGGGTTATTAACCTGATCTGGGAGGTCAACCAGTGACCTAGGATCTCAGCATTGACCAGGACATAAAAATAATTGGCTTTCTCTCGTCAGCGATGACCAGGGCCCTCAAATCATCGGATTTCTCTCGCCACGAGTAGCTCGCTCTTTTTTTATTGGCTATTCATGAATGGCTGAGGTTTCTACGCCCCTCCGCTACATATAAGACGCTGAAAAGAAATGCCTAAGTGGGTGAGGGTTAAATATCGATTGGTTTTTAAGTGCCGAAGCCCGAAACACTTTAATTTACTTCGATAGCAATTTTTTAAGACCAACGAGCTCGAATACTACTTCTTGAACAAAGTAAGCACCACATAAAATGAATCGTAAGAGAAGCGGCTCAAGATTAACCATATTAGTGGCAGGCTCCTGGCTACCCCTATTAGTGGCAGGGGGGGGGGCTGTTTACGACCCCCCCTTGATATCTCGAGATCTAACGGGCCGATTTTCAAAATTCAAACGGCATTCGACTTCGCTCAACGTGATCTACATTTCTAAAAAAAAAAATTAAGAAAATGTCAAAAGGGGGGTTGAGGGGGGTAAAAACGGGCAAATTGCAGATACATTTTAGACTGCTTATCACGGCCAGGTTTCTGAACCAATCTTAACGCAACTTTTGCCGATCGATAAAAAATGAACCAGGAATTCACATGGATCCTAAAAATATGCATTTTCAAAAATCATAGGCGGATACAGATCATTGAGATTGGGGGTACACAAAAAGTATAGCAAATAAGGTTTTTGTTGGTACTGTTTCTAAAAAGGGTGGTAATGGTCTTGTTATGTTACAATTTTCTTATGAGAGAACGACTACAATTGTATTGGTCATGCATAGGCGGTGTCAGGGCACCTATGTTGGGAGGTAAAACATAACCCCCCTTTTTGGACGCCTGGATCCGCCTATTATAGCAAAAACGTGTCAAAAGAGGATGCACAATAACTTTGTATATGTTATCACATGATAAAACTGGTGCATACAGTTATAATACATCAGCATCGTGATCATCACCCAAATGACTCGCTTCACGAATAGGACCCCCCAATTCCCAGTGCTCTGGAGCCGCCCTTGGTAAAGTTATGAACTTGAAATTTTCAGGGAATGTGCCCAATTTAGTTTTAGGAAAAGTCAGAAAATTTCAGCATCGTAGCTTCAGCGGTTTCGGAGATATTCCCGAAAAACCTGAGGGGTGGATGAAAACAACCCCCCCTGCCACTAATAGGGATAAGGAGCTATGAGACACTTAATAAAAACGGCATAGGTTAGAAACTGCACCTAACTTGCACCGGTTTTTAAACTTTTTCGTTGCAGACTGGTAGATTAAATTTTAGGATTGATTTCAGCTGATGCTCAAATGGAGCTATTCATTCGTTCATTCATGCGACCATCCAATTCCATTCATAAAAGAAGCCAGTGACAAAATTGTTCATTTTAGATAAGTGTGAAATACAAACTCAATAAAAGTTAATGATACGGTAAATTTGACAGCTTTTATAAATAACAGACAAACAACTTTAACAAATCAAAGTTGAGAGCCCCAAATAGGGGAGAGTAAGGTAAGATGAGCCAAGGGGCAAACTTAGCCACCCCATGTTTCTCAGCT